TAATGGGGACGAAGAGACTATAAGTTACTCTCTCCGTCCTAAAAGGCTAAAACGTTCTTCACAGTTACTATTTACACAGTCAAACTTTAATCACTTTCTCTACCTATTTTCATTTGTTATTTGATAAAATAATATAGTCTTGCCACTTCTTGTTTTGTTGAACTTTTGATATAATTTTTAAATATATAAATTTTAATTTTTTAAATTTTGTATCTACAATCAAATAAATTAAATTGAAAATAAGGTCGGTCAAATCTCGTAAACAGAAACAGGAAAAACGTTTTAGGACGCGGCGAGTACCATGGGCGGATCTAGGTATAACCTAATGGGGGCAATTGCCCCCAATGAATTTTAAAAGTGTCCATAGTAGTCCCCTAATTTTTCTTTAAAAAAAAGTTATGCCCCCATTGAAAAAAAAATAAAATGCCCATAAAAAAAATAAATTTTAAGTAAAAAATTAAATATCTACCATTAAAAATAAAATATTTAAAATTTAATTGAGTCAAAATTAAAAATTATTTAGAACAAAATAAAATTATAGGAAATATTTTTTAGATTATTCATTAATTATTTGAATGCGTTATTGAGTAAAAATAATATTTTTTTTGTAAGTTCACATTGTTATTTTGAAGAAAAAACAGAAGTGCTTCCTCCGAATCCCCTTAGTAGTCTCGCCACTAATCCTTGCAATTCTTGGATCCGCCACTGGGCCGAGTACTACAATTCACCAAAAATGAACAAGGAATGCCAGCTGCACTTTAGCCCCCAAATTTAATTACGTTTTCTATAAATATTACTCCGTAATAGTCGAAATAGACATCCCCTTTCATTTCAATGGCTAACATATATATGTAGGACCCCTACCTGGTTCCTAGCTAGCTAGTGTCAAGTTAAATACTTTGAACGCAACTCCTTTTCAATAGGAACTTTTTAAAAATTATTTTTTCGATTTTTTGACGTGAAACTTTAATTTTATTAAAATTTCATTGGTGGTGAGGTTTTACAATTGAGTGATTTTGTCTGTGCAACAAGCTAAAATACACACATGGGTTGCAAATTAAGCGGGAATGAAAGATTAGGATGAGATTATGACACTGGTTATCAAAATAAATGAGAGATATGATGTTATGCCTTTTGTACTATCACATACAAAAGTTGTAAATGAAGTACAAGTAGTACCAATGCACATCAAAAAATCTATGAGCGCAGTTCAGAGAAGTTATTCTAATCAGTAGGACTCACGTCTATATAGTAGCCTTGACTGAACGTTTGAAATAAGATTAAACCGAGATCAAACACATTAAGAAATATTCTCTAGTATAATTAACCCCTAGAAGAAATCTTCAACTTCAATAAATATTAATCTCCTATACGCAGCGTAGCCAAGGACTGCTTAATTAGCTTGTGCGATCAAACTAGTCTTCAGATCTCTTATACTAGCCATCACACTTTTTGTGGTTATTGTCGCGTTTCTTCGCACACATGACTCTTTAAGAAAAGACTTTTAAAACGCGGAGAGTCGAACTCGGGTTTGCACCTTGTTGTGTTAATTAAGTAATTAGGCCACCACATTAGTGTACAATTTGAGTGAAAGATGCATTTGAGAATTGAGAAGGGGAATATGGTCCCTAATAATATACGGAGTATATATGAAGATGAGAGTTGCATTATACTAATAATAATAATAATAATGTGAGAGGAGAAAGACAATCCCACAAGATGGCTGTTCAGTGGTCGTCTCTCTTCCCCGCCTTGTCTCAATTACTAATTAACTTATTTAACTACTCTAAGGCGCGTTTGATACACGGAATTCAAATTATGGAATTGGAATTGAGGACTTGAATTCTAATTCTCGTGTTTGATATGTAGCACAAAACTTATGTGGATTTAGAATTGGTAATGCAAAAAATGAATTGGAATTGATGAATTCAATTCTATGGAATTGAATCCCATGAAAATTTAATTCCAATTCCATCAATTCCGTGTACTAAACAGACCCTAATAATAATAAGTTTTCAGAAGTGTTAAAATGTACAAACAGAAGCGATTAGAATTAGATGAGAAGAAAGAAGAATTTATCTAGTCACGTAATTCTCTCTTTCTAAGAAAAAGTGATAGGTGGAATTTAGGATGGTGTTAGAGTTACAAAATTGGGTCATAAGACATCTGAGCTGAACCACGTTAAAAGATTAAATCTAATTAATTACTAGATTCAATTCAAGAACTTATATACCAATTGGTGATCGAATATTATTTTAGAAAGTCCAAAAAGGAAAGAATGGAGATTATTTAGGGAAGGAAGAAGTAAATCTGGCAAAAAATGACTGACCTGTTTTTGACTGAACCCCGACCTAAAATATTAGATTTTGAACAAAGATTTTGATGACCGAATCTGAAATTGACCAAACCCGAAATGACCCGCTAAAATAGATTAAACCCGACTGAATCTGAATCTGACATAACTGGCTAGCTAATGTAAGAATTTTTTAAAATTAAATACTTTATAATGAAATATAATGTTATAAAAATAAGGTTATAATTATATTTTTTTACTACTCATTTTTAATGTATAAATTTATATTTTCAGACAAAATTTTAATAATATTGCATAATTATCTTACTCTTTTCCAAAATTTATGCATTTTTTATTTAATTCTTTATATTGATTTATATATCTAATAATTACTCCAGAATTTATAATAAAATAATCTACGCAGTAATAGATTTAATACGGAGTACATGATTTTTTGATATTTTAAATTCATTCAATACAAAATGCAAGTGTTAATATGAATTTAAGCCATTGGATTGACCCTTAACCCAATAACACTGATTTAGAACATACAGTTCTCAATTCAAATCCAAGTAACTCGAACTCGAACTGACTGAGCGATTTGCCAATTTTAGGGAGAAGTAATAATAATGAATGCCATGGCAATGGCAGAGAAGTACTAGCGAGTAGCCACAGCCCGGCGTTAACTCAACCAACATTGCCCCCCTACTCGTGGGACCCGCCTTATCCCTGCTTGGGTCAAATCCGCCCCCTTATTATAAGAGGTGGGGTGCGTCGCAAAAAAATTTTGCAGAGTTTGCGCTCCTAAAATTAATTTCCCATTTTGACTTTTGCAGTCAAAGTTTTTAAACTTTGACTGCATATTATGGAAAAAATATATTGAATTTTCATATAAATTTAGTATCAATAGATTCAATTTTAAACATAGTTTTGAAATATATTATTTTGATAATATATATTCATATAAAAATGAAGATATCACTGGTCAAAGTGCCGCATTGGAAACCGTGAAAAGTCAAATGGGAAATTAATTTTAGGACGGAGGGAGTATAAATTAAACTTCCTCCGTCCTAAAACTATATTTCCATTTGTGTTTACGAGGTTTGACCGATTTTATTTTCAATTTAATTTATTTAATTGTAGGTGTAAAATTAAAAAATAAAATTTATATATTTAAAACTACATTAAAAGTTCTGCAAAACAAGAGGTGACAAGAATATATTATTTTATCAAACAGCTAGCGAAAATAAGTAAATAAAACGATTTAAGTTTGACAGTGTGAATAGTAACTGGGAAGATAGTTTTAGGACGGAAGGAGTACTCTAAAGAAATGCATAAAGATTTTAATTATTCACACTAACACAAAATATCAGTTTACTTAAAAATTTGCGGTGACATGTTTTGTCAATGTAAATCATCACATTACCATCTCACTAGCACAAAATGTCAATGCATGCCTTTGGTGTATAAAATGAGAGTACAAATTTTGGTGTACAAATAGCTTAATCCTTGCATAATCCCTAAAAATTTTAAATTTTTTCAATTTACTTTAATAAAAAATGGTATAGAAATAAAAAATAATATTTGCATATTTAAAAATTACGTTAAAAATTCTACAAAACAAGATTTGACAAGAATATTCTATTTTATCAAATAATCAATAAAAACACACAAATAAAAATAAAAGTTTTCGTGATCTTAGAATTGTGAGATCTTTTAAGGACGGAGAGAACTATACTTTTGTACTCCGTATTTAATATGGAGTATTTAGAAAAAAAGTCAAATTTTGGAATATACTCTATACATCGGAAATCAAAAATGTTACAGAGTAAAAATTATATTCCTCCCGTCCCACAAAATCCTTCCTGTTTGAAAAAAGGCGCGCCTTTAAAATAAATAATTTTGATGTTATTTTTATGTTATGACTCATCTATCATACACATTTCATCATATTCTATTATAAAGTAAAGACAAAATTAAAAAATAATACCAAAATTACTCATTATAAAGACGCGTTTATTTTCAAACAAGAGAAGTTTTATGAGACCAAGGGAGTAGTTTAATTGAAAAGAGGAAAGTGTTTTTATTGTCAAATGTTGTCACTTAAGATGAGTCTGAGAGGTTATATTGACAATTTCTCTCTTGGAGTGATGTCTAATAGTGGAGTTTGGATTTGAATGGATGAGTTATGACCAATTATGGTCCTTCACATAAAATGTCAGAAGCGAACCTTAATGGTCATGTTTGGCAAACATTTATGAGTACGGAGTAGATGCCATTCTACATAAACAAATGTGGCTAAACGTGAGGGCTTGTTTGATGAGCCCAAGAGATATACAGAAGAGTGTATGTTCTAACGTCTCTCAATATATTACAATTTGTTACGGGTGTTTGGTGGAACAAAGATTTTACTCGCATTTGATATATCGAGATCTCATAATCCCTTCAAATAGGAATGTTTTAGTATACTCAATTTTGGAAATCTCAGTTGCATCGAGAAAGAAACTAGTCGTTCACAATATTTCTCTCCTCTGCATAAACGTCCACCACACAATTTACCTTTTCCTTGAGCTCCATAAAAGTCTTTTAGAGACGGAGAGAGCATACTTCCTTCCAGAACTCAAAACTCATATGGTATATTTAAACAGATTATAGTTTTCCAAATTCTTGATCCACAACTACTACATTATAGACAAAGAGGAGGGTAAGATGCACTTGACAAGTGCAAGTTAGTGAAGAACCAAGAAGCAACAAGCCAGCAAACATATTTGACAAGCGCTGCTGCCATTTGTTGTGCATGCATGTGTTCTTGTCCCTGCAAAATCAAAAATCATAAAAAAAATAAATAAATAAATAAAGAATTAGGGCAAAATATATCAGCATCAATCAAACACATCAGATAGTCTCAGGCATTTCAGTTGTGCCCAAAGAGAGCAAACACACGTGAAGTGTGTGTTGTGTGTGTTTCAGCGGCTGAAAGAGTGAGTTAATGAATGGAAGAAGCAGGAGGAGGGTCACAGAACAGCAATTGTCCCACAACAGCCCCCCCTCTGAACCAATATTATATCATCAAATTAGAGACACAAATGTCTGTATTGGTTGGCTCATCTAACAATTAGGGGTAAATAAAAAATTGAAATTAAAAAAAAATATCATCTGATTTGTATAACAACAAACTTACATTGGTACATACAACAATTCCTCTTCTTTTCTTTTCTTCCTCTTTTTTCCTTTTTTTGTTTCAAGTCCTATTATATGTTGCATCGATCATAGCCAGTGAACCAAGAAGAGGGGAGTAACTTAGAGAGCTCCTCCTCCGTTTGATAGAATGACTCGAACTCCTCCTTCCACCGTTGATCCACCGCAGTGTCGTTCTGTGACGTTGTCTCTTTTGAATCGTGGACAGTTTCTCCTTGTTTGTGCAGTCTAGTGGGAGTAGATTCTTCAAGCAATTGTTTCAGATTGTTGATTTCGTGCTCGTGTTTTTTCTTCATTTTTTCAATCTGTTTGTATGCCTTGCTAGCTTCTTGCTCGGCGCCCGTGGCCCGCTTCTGCACGTCATACATAGAATTGCATTACAATTGGCGCGCACATGTGTGTTTGGAAGCACTTGGAGAAGAATACATAAATATAGATTGACTTTTCGGTCAAAAGATCAACAGATATATGTACGCAATTAGGCATTGCTTTGCAAAGAATTCGGTGGCGGTAAAGGTGTACAATTTTTTTTGGCATCTATGAGTTAGGCTGTTTAATTGTTGATACCTAACCTGAAAGACTTGATTTCAAACAAAACCAAACTAGAGGCTTTCTCACCAGGTGGAGTCGGCTATATGGATCAAGCGACACCATTCGCTGCGGTTGAGAGCCATCCCCTCTCTAGGCCACATACTATGATACTTAACAGGTCGTGCAATTCTATCTAACTAAGGTTACTAAGCCACCTTAGATCTACTTCTACCCAATTAAAATGCATTCCTATAGCCTTACACCTTCTAAGAGTTTGAGAGAAGTTTCACAAATCCATTCATTATGAAGAAACAACTTAAGACAGCATGACATTTTGAGACACTAAAATCTCCCCCCCCCCCCAAACCATCGCATGAGGTGTGGTAAAAGCACAATGCTAAAAGGATAGTACGAAGTATTCACACAGAGTAAGAAAGTAAGAACATATAACACAACCACCATCTTTAGAAATAATGACATTATAACTAAAAGAGCAATGAACTATAGAATCAAATTTTAAAAGTTACCTCAGCAGCTCCAACGGCTTCTTCAGCTTCTCTAAGCCGGACAAGCAATTCACCAGCAGCCTCGACAGCTTCAGCAGTATCCCTTAGTTGAGACTGAAGTCCTTTGTTTTCGTCTCTGAAAAAACGCCTCTCCTTTTCTCTTTCAACTTTAAGTGCTGAGATTTCTGCAGCAAGAGCATTTATGAATCTAGATTCTGCACCCCTTACCCCTGCCTTGGCAGCTGCTTTCTTCACATCTTCTATCCCATCTTGAATCTTCCTGTGCCTAGAGAGCAACTGTATATGTTTTTCTTCCAGGTCGGCATATTGTTCAAGCATTCTTGCATGACCCTGCATTGCCATCTCCATTGCTTCTTTCAGCTCTTCTGAACACTTCTTCTCCATTTCTAGTTCAGTCTTTTGTTTAAGAGCAAGTTTTCTGCTTGCTTCAAGTTCTGACTTCAATTCTTCCACGAGACCGATCCACTTACTCTCTGTCTCACTCCATTGCAATCTTTCCCTTTCAAATTTATGCTCAGCAGTTTCCTCTACCAATAGTTCTGAACTGGCAGAAATGGGTGTTGTTCCCACACTTTGCTCACATGGATATGTTAATTGCAATATTGGACTTTGTTTTTTTGATGTCTTAGATGAAGAGTCCACGTAAAACTGAAGTTGGCTTCTCAAATCCTGAATCTCCTCCATTAGAACTTCTCGCTCACCCAAATCAAAGAAGTTGTGATACCGTTCCAGCTCATCTTGAACACGACTAAGTTCTATTTTTGAGCTTAACAGTTCAGGATGGTTTTCATATTTCTCTTTCAGAATCTGAAGTCAAATTAACAATGCATAATCAGAGAAAAATGTATCCACCTACCTAAAGTTAAAGGGTAGGTTTTGATCCTGGAAAATGCTAGGGAAAATAAGAAATGTGTCATGTAATGCTCGTGTTTTGAATAAATTTGGTGAGTTGCGTTTGTGACTTTGTGTACAAGACCTAAATAAGAAAAAATGAATATCACAACAAATATGTAAGATACATTTATTGAGTTTTAGCGTATCTTTTATTTTTATCCCACGTTTTTTTTTTTCCAATTTTCCCCTATCCTTCCAATTTTCTTTCTCTAGCTGTCTAGCATATATCGGGTTCCAAGTTGAACCAAAAGGATAGAAGCATACCTTGTTCTCATGGGTTAGGGACAGCACCTCATCCTCTACAAAATCCTCAGTTGTTAGGATCCCATCCATCAAGCTCTCCAGGCGTGCAATCTTATCTTCACGTGTTTGACTAATTACCGCATTGCATTCTCGCTCATGCTTGTACTGCTGAATCTGAGTTCGGTGGTAAAAGGAAAGATCAAATGACTGGAAATAAAAATACAAATTTTTTGATTAATCGGATAACTTACCAATCGATTTAGTTGCCTAATTTCCGAGCTTTGCTTGGAACACATATCTTCCAGTGCCATCTCTCTCCGTATAGCTCCTGCCAAAACCTTCTCCACTGCCTGAAAAGTAGTAAACAGCTAATGATATGCACAAGCACCAATTATAAAATAAGATCTGAAATCCACTCCAGGAATTATACACTTACTTTAGGAACTTGAACCTTGAATTTATCACTGGACTGTGACCCATCAAAAGGTACCAACTGCAGATTTGAGCTATCATTAAGTTCGTGCAAAGAATTTTTTGTCTTGCAATTACTGCATAAATATATTGAACCCTCTTTGAGTGGTTCAGGGCCATTTAGATCAGTTTGAACACCCACATCAACTTTAGCAATGGGTAATATTGCTCTAAGTTCAGCAGGCTTGTAAGAGAATCTAAATGAGGACTTTCTCAAAGATGCACTCTGATGATGAGCGCCAATGATCTCAAGGCCACGATGAAGACTTGCAGCCAAATGCTCTGTTGTCTTGAAACAATTTCTACTTTGTTTGGACTGATAATTCAAGCAAGTGCTGCTTGAGGGCTTTACTAAGGGAGCATGTGGGGCATCCAACTCATTTTCTATGAGATTCTTTTCGGAGGCAGTCAGCATTGATGTTGTCTTAAGACTCTTCCTACTGCCAGTGTTAACCCTCGGTGAAACACTTGGTGTTGGAGATAGAACATCACATGGAACTATACTGAGAATAGGCAAAGCATCGTTCAAACAATTTGGAGACTTCTCAGGAGTTTTTTCTGTATCTATTTCTTCATGAGATATTTCTTCAGGAACTGCATTCCCTGTTTCAACATTTCCTGTATTGAGCTCAAGATCCCGTCTTTCAGCTTCTTCAACAATTTCCATCAGTGTATCACCATCATCATCTAAAAAAGGTAATGCTGCTGATCGATTAAGGCTGAATTTCAAAAGGTTTAGGCTTCTCCGGGCATTCCATCCAGTAGAGTAGTTACCATTTTGATCTCTTTGATTTGCCTTCATTTGAACTAGTTCATCCTGTTCGAGAAACAAATCAAAGGCACGAAAGACACGTCTTTAGAAAAAGAATTATTATACTGGAATATAATAGGAAGAAGAGTAAACAAGATGAAAAGAGTTGTATTTTGTTGATATCACACGGGAATTACATTCTCTTTACCTTTACCCACCACTCTTTATTTTTAAACAAGAATATTATAGGAGAGAAATCAGAGAACTAATAAGAAAGAAGACATACTATATACCTTAAGTTGCCGTATAACATCTCTCAAGAAATTAACATCATCCTGCATTTCTTCATTGACAACTGCCTTATTCTTTATTGCCTTCGCACGCTGGGCAAATCTCAGGGTGCTAAAAGTCTCATTCTTACAGCTGCATTTTTCATATGAAATTCACCTTGAGAATGAACTAGATAGCAGAGAATAAAATATGCAGGGAAAAAAAACATTAGCGGGTCTAGTCTCACCTTTGTGCCGGAGAAATGGCACAGATCATTGCCAGTTTTGCATTCCCGCCTAGTGATTCCTGTAATAAAAATGTCAACTTGGAATCTCTATAGGGAATGTGCCTTGGCTTCCCTGTTTGTGAAACTTCCGCAAGAATGTTTATTAAGTTCCTATGAGAGTTAAGAAACAATGGAAATTAGAAGCACATACCAAAAATATATGGAGTATGAAAAAAAATTACAGTAGCCTAGAAATCTCCACTAGAAGAGTATATAGCTTAGGATGCAGCCCTAACACATCCACTGATTTCTAGACATCTCTTTCTTCCCAAAGAAGAAATAGAATACACTGCAGTACCATAAACATCTACACTAGAAAGATAGGCACATAATTCAAGAAGCTGCAAATATTTTTCTATGCACATACTGACTGCTTATCATCATATATCGACTTTCTCCATTTTTTAAATGTTTGCAACAATTGCTTTTTCACGCTTGCGAATGCATAAATTTAATCATTAATATCTTCAATCATGTTTTAGTAAAAAATATAAAAGATGATATTACCAAAGTTCATATCAAGACGAATCTAACAAGATCGTGCACAAGCTACATTTCTCCTTACATATGATGATATGAATCACAAAAAATGATAAAATGAGAGAGTACGAATAGTGTAAAATTTCCACCATTTCAATCTTTTAAGAATAGAGGAAGTATTTATCATACTTCAACCAAGGCATCGAAGAGTGAATTTAGCTTAAGAAGCGACCCAAAGACAACTACTGATTTCTCAGACATCACTTTTTTCCAAAGAAAAATTAGAATACAAGTGCAGTGCTGTAAACATCTACACTAGAAAGATATGCACATAAAAATGAAATTTCTTTCAAGAAACTGCATATATCTTTCTCTACACATGGCAACCACCGGGTGCTTATATACTGTTATACCAACATATCCATCTCATACTTCAATAAAGATCATCAGAAAGAGCATTAGTGCATGCTCCAAGTTTTTTCAGAAGGGCATTCTTTATTATCTACGGAGTAATTCAAAAGGACAGTAGGTATGTTTGACGAAATAGGACCTGAACTATTGATCTAATTTGAAAGACATCACTACACAGAGTAATCTAGACAAGGATGAGTGAAGTTGCAACAAAAATGCTGATAAATGTTCAAAGCATACAATAAGATTGAATTGCATATAGCACATAAAAACATACAGTAGGCACCAAGATACTGACTATTGAAAATCTGTCCCATACCCGAGTTGTGAAAGAGATCGATTGATGTTCCCTGCTTCCTTCAATCTCTCTCCAGCTGCACCAGTAAGCTTTTGACGCTCAGATCCAGCAAGATCAACAAGATTTATTCTGCTTGTCTTCCGGCTGCATAATCCATCCGCCTTGCTCTATCAATTGAAACACAAAATTAGATAAGTAAACGAATAGGGGGGCACCAGGCAAAGAAAATATTCTCTAAAAGAGGAATGACACTATCAAGTATATAAATGAATCAAGGAGATCTCTTAGAGCATCAAATAGGTTGGTTATAGTACGTGTAAAGCCAGGGTTAACTTGAAATTCAATGTTCCCTACATCTCATAGATAGCAAAATAATTTTCTGCAGTAAATGTAGTCAGCAGGAGAATGTTACCTTGCATCGTGATTCAACCACACATGTAAATACACTATGTGAACGGGAACTCTCAGCATTTATACTTGTTGCTCCAGTCCTCCTGTTTGATAATCCCTGTAGCAAATACAAACAATAAGAATTTAAAACCTAAATGCATACTCCCTCCATACAAATGTGAGACATTGACATGCAAATATGATTACAAAGTAGTGAACATAAAAAGGGACATAAGAATTCAAAACCTAAAAGAGAAATGTATTTTGGTCATCCATATAAAGCATCCAACGTATATAACTCATTATTTTCATTTTTCAGTATCCACGTGCCATATCTATTGCTCAGAATTACACCCAATCCATTCACTTATACATATGCATGGAAGTGTACAACCCAATAGTAACCAATACATTTAATAAACATAGTATATTGGCATCAGAAAATGAAAAAATCAGTATGGATAGGTTAAAGATCTTAAAATTGGTGCACTAGCATCAGGATATTGGTCAATCGTCTAGCACATCCAGTGACTAGATTCATGCTCATGACAATAGAAAACATGAAAAAGTAATTACATATCGCAGACCTTTAACAAAAGATGTTTCACATCCTTCGTAGTAGAAACACATTCCTCCGTAAGATTTTCAACATAAACACCTGTTTTTACATCTTCTCGTATCTGAAAAGTGAGGCAGTGTTTGAGAAATCCTAGCACAAATAAAATCAAGTGTGACGGGGATCCATTTTAGGATTACCTGTAGGTTTCTTGGGTTTGGATCCAACAAATCAGTGATTTGTTCATTGTAAATCTGAAATTTTACATACAAAAAATTTGATTAAAACTGCAGACATTTTTTTCAAGAAAAATGATCATAAGAAGACACTTACTTACCTCAAGAAAAGAGCAGCGACACTGGTACTTGAGCTCTTTGTCAGCGTGCTTAATTTGCTCCTGAAGAACAAAATTAAATCTCTTTATGCCAAATTTAATAGCATTTCACAAGCTGAAAGTTTAAAAAAAGAAAAGAAAAATCTAACCTGTTCAATTCTTGTAAAAAGGTGCTGGAAAACACGTGGTGTCAAGCCTTGTTGATCACTTGATAGATTATCCTCCAACAGGGCGTTGGCTGGTCCCCATATTGTATATGTCTTTCCACTCCCAGTCTAATAAATGCAACATGCGTGCATTATATAGCATTCTAAACGACACCAACTGGCAGAATAGTGCTAGTGAAATTGACAGTCTAAAATAGATAGATTACAAGAATCAGAAACAACATACTTGTCCATAGGCAAAGACGGAGCTGTTAAACCCAGCTAGGCAATTTTCGACAAGTGGTTCTCCCACAAGCTGAAATATATCAAGCTGAAAAACAAACAATGAGATAAATCTGAATGTTCTTTTTCTTTACCGAATTGGATAAAAACCCGGTGAAGAAAGCAACAACATAGTGCTAGCTTGCCTGTGTCGATTGAGTATCTACCACAGAGTCAAATGTAAAAATTTGTCCAGACATCAAAAGAGAGTTGCTAGAAGTTTTCTGAACTGTCATGTCTCCCGCGTCCTCATCTTTAGTTGGTGGCCTCATTCTAACTATAACCTGGCATAGATTCTAGTCAGGACTGTATGAAACTAAAATAAGTTACTCCGGCTCTACTGCAGCTTTCTTGTTTCTAAGTTACCAGTCTAAAAATTCTAGGATGACATAGATTTAAATAAAAATTATTATTAGAAAGCACCAGGCACTCACTGGATCTAGAAGGACAGATAACTCACAAAAATCAATATTTAGGTTTAAAATATACTCGCAGACTTATAAAAATCCTGAGTAGTGCCAAGAAACAAAAGCGGCAGAAGCTTGTGGTTTCTAGGGAATAGGGCACATCATTGCGAAACAATTTCAAGATTCATATCTTATAAAGAAAACGATTGCTTTCAATTGATAAATTCCGAGTTTAAAAAAAATTAATAGTGATGAAATAATGACAATATATGAATGAAATGAGAACAATCTGACAATAAAGGATCTCATTTGAAGAAATTACTTTGACTCCAGAGTCAGAAGAGCCAGGAACGGAGGACTCAGACCCAGCCGAATCCACAATAAGCTTCCGCTTCAGAGGATTGGAGTTAGGCGGCCGAGGAGGGAGCGGACTCTTAAGTTTAGCCCCGGCCGAAGGTGATGCGTACGGATCTGGAGAAGGCGGCGGAGCATTCTCCTTGGACCATCTCGGTTTCCTGCTACTGGAATTTGGAAGCGGCGGCGTGGACCATTTCGGCAATTGCTTGACAGAGCTAGGGTTCGGAGATGCCGCCAAGGCCTCGTGATTCTCCCTCAAGATAGCGCTCCTAGGATGCATTGTCGACTTCATTGCGGACGACGGAGAGAGCGGAGGGGAGAATGACGGCGGCGAACTGGCCGGAGAGAAAGAGAGAGAGAGAGACGAGAGAAGTATCCGTTAGAGAGCTATGGCTGGGGCCGGAGAAGGGGGGATTTTGAATCCAGTTGAAAAAAGGCGTGAACAGAGAGAAAGTGCGTTCGAATAATTCTTCAATCTTTTTGTTTGTATTGATTTGTTTTTGTATTCAACGGCTTTTTTTAAAATTTATGGGCTCCGGAAAGAAGTGAATGTGAATCAGCAGTACTTGGGTTTTTTTTAACTTTAAAGAGTTTTAATCTCATTTCTATTGGGCACAAAAAATTACTCACATCTTCAGAAAGTCAACATTTGGCATTGCGCGTTTATTGACAACTAATTTATGCTACTAGTATCACACCCGTGCGTTGCACGGGTCATAGTTATGGTACTAAATTAAGATCATTTTTAGGAATATAAATTGGTATATAATGAAATATAAAAATTTCATTATTTTAAAGTACAAAAGTAAAATGATTTACAAATTTCGAAAGACTTATTTATAAACTACATCACTCATATAATTCGTGTGAGCATTTACTTCGTTGTATATCAGAATCTTCAAGTCATTGTGATTTATTACTCTTGAAACTGCAACAAACACTTGCTCATTACTAAATACCAGTTTTCGTAATAACAATAATTCAACATGTTTCAGATATTGTCCCTGACAATAATTCAATAATTTGATTTATTTAAATAATAATTCAACATATTAATGTATCTATTTTGGAATTTGTATTTTTTTAGTTTTATTTTCGTATTTAAATGGTACCATTTACTTACCCTATGGTATTTACTTTCTATTTTATTTTAGATCACTTACGATTTTATACTTATCCATGCTTGTAAATTATAGAATTAATAGTATTAATTTTAGAATACTTACCATTGTTACATGTTTCCATGCTTATAGTATTAATACTATTAATTTATAATTTTTTTATTTTTGCATTTAAATGGTACCATTTACTTTATGTACCATATTATCTTTAAATTTATAACACTTACCATTTATAACACTTACCATTTTAACATGTTTCCATGCTTGTAAATTGTAGTATTAATTGATAGTAAAAATTTGCAGTTTTCTATTTTATTTTTGTATTTAAATGGTATCATTTACTTACCGTACCATATTTATTCTCTATTATATTTTAGAACACTTACCGTTTTGATATTTATTTTATTTTTTAATTTATTTAGAACACTTACCTAATTTATTTTAGAACACTTACCATTTATTTTATTTTTGTGTTTAAATAGTACCATTTGCTTATCGTGGTGACATACTGTATTGTATTTATTTTCTAATTTTCTAATTAGAACACTTACCTTTTTCAAATCATTTTCATGTTTATAAATTATAGTATTAATATTAATTTTGCAGTTTTTTTATTTATTTTCATATTTAAATCGTACTAATTACTTACCAAACCAAATTATTTTCTAATTTATTTTAGAACACTTACCATTTATTTTATTTTCGTTTTTAAATGGTGCCAATTGCTTACTGTACCATACCTATTTATTTTTCTAATTTTCTAATTAGAACACATGTCATTTTAAAATGTTTCCATGCTTGTAAATTATAGTATTAATATTAATTTGTAGTTTTTTATTTTATTATTGTATTTAAATGTTATCATTTACTTACCGTACCATATATATTTTCTAATCTATTTTAGAAAACTTACCATTTTTACACGTCCGTGCTTGTAAATTGTAATAAATAATTAATTTTTAGTTTTTGAAATAAATCATTTTAATCCCGCTCATACTTTATTAATTAAAAGTTTTTTAATTTTATTTTAATATTTAAATGGTAGTGTATTTTATTTCCATACTTTAATTCCCCAATGGTTCACTACAATTTAAATTAATTTAATTTAAGTATTTAAACGGTGTAACATTTAAATAAAAATGAAAACATACTTAAAATAGAAGGAAAACAATAATGCCAAATAATTAAACTATCATTTTTGTTGTCAACACTTTCCATATATGAGTCTCATGTTTGGGTGGGAAAACATTCACCTCTTTTTAAATAAAGTATAGATAGATGGAAAATAAGAATTTAATAATTTAGTATAAAATTAATGAGTAAATTTAATTATCGAAAAGAAATCTTTGTTTTCAAGGTAATATTCTTTTCTAATTCAATATTTTTTTGTTCCACTTATAACGAAGTTTCAATTACTCCGTGATAAATAAGATGCTCTCTTTATGTACAAAGACTATAAATAAATTTCATAAATTTTATTATACGTTTAGGTTAGAGATTTTATTTTTTATTCTATTTATTTAAATGTAGATGTAATTTTTTTAAAAAAAATTAAAACTACAATAAAATTTTACAAAACAATAGTCCTCTAGACTATAGAGTATAAAATGCCTTTTTCCTTAATTCTTTATATATTATATATGTTATGACAAACACGAGAAAGTATGAACACGAATAATTGACAAATCAGGAAAAAGACAGAGATTTAACGTGATTTACTAACAACCTGTTAGTAATCTCCACGGACAAAGAGAAATTTTTAAATTAATCAGTACTTTCTCATCAAATTATAGATTCGATATGTATCATGAATTGAGAAGTCCAAATATAAGCTATGTATATGGAAGGAGATACAGGTAATTCTAATCCTACTACATATATAAAGATGAGAATATGCAAGATAATCTTAATATCATTCCTAATTGTAATCCTGATAGGTCTAAAATACAGATTCATGACATTTTCTAACAAATCTCCACCTTGACTTGAACCCCCTCAAAAAATAGAAGATGTACCAAATTTCTTTCATGAAGTGATTAGATGTACCGTAGGTACCAGAAGTCCAACCAAGTACACAAATGTCACTAAAAGACAAGAACAAATTATTTCACTTGAGTTTAGAAGTGTCATGACACTAAGCTAATGCCTAGATGGCTCACTCAAGCTAAAACACCAAGAGATGCAAACTTCACCTTGAGTCCAGATGGCTCTTCACTGAACCAGGAGACAATTATACTAACAGTGAGACAATTATACTAACATAGGGCCTCTGCAAGTACTAGGTGCATGCTTTATCAATTGTCAGTCATTATGTACTATGATTAAAGCTTAATTTACTTCCTTTGAAATGAATGTTGGATAGATTTTGAGCAGCCTTCTGTGATGGGCTTCATTCGATTTTAATAGAGAAAAAGTGTTATTCTTTCCATTCTTTTGAATCTTTTGGTGTTACTTTTAAGGTTAAATGTTTTAAACTTTGACTACAAATTTAAAAAGGCATTGTATTGTGATATATATTTAACATTAATAAGTTTATTTTGAAACATAGTTTTGAAAAATATTATATTTTTATACTCCATTTTTTCTAGTGTATTTGTTCAATTTAACTTTTTCGAGTCAAACTGAATGTAATTTGAGATTCAATTGAATAAAAATAGTAACGTATATTTGTATAGAAACAAATTTATTAGATTTATCTTCTTGAGAACTTTCAAAATTATTATTTTATTATGCCAATATGTAATGTAAGTTGAGCACGATAGTCTCCAAGAAATCAGGGGCCATGGTCGACACGGAGAAAATAAGTCATTGTGTCATAATAAAATAAAGTCTATCAATTAACATTTTTAAACAATAGCTGATGACATTATTTTTTTGAGCTACAATATATAGCTAACATTATAAAAATAATAAAATGTCAAATTCATAGTCAAATTCGAGCAGCGTGGGGGAGCAGGGAGGCGATTTAGAGGACTGCAAATTGTTTTTAATCCTCTATATAAATCTGTTTCGTTTATATAAATACATATTTTTCTATCTGTCTAAAAATATTCTTTTCAATTCATTTTTTTATCCGTCCGAAATATATCTTTTCATTTCCTTTTTGATAAACACTAGATTCCACCCGTGCGATGCACGGTAAAAATAATATACAGAGTAATAATAATCAATGTAATATATGAATAACATACAATTACATTATACGAAATTGAATATTGATAAATCTTGTTCACATCATGTGGAAATAATATTTATGCAGATTTTAAAAATAATCGTAGTGTCTTACATAATTTACATATCGAACACACAAAACAAATAGGAGAAAAATTGCAAATTCTAGATAACTTTTTGTACACAACACTCCAAGTATGGTCCAATGCATTACTTTCTTCATGGTAGGTTAAAATTTTCAATCTTTCTCAATTTGTCATAGTAACCAAAGTACACAACGAATTAAGTGTGTCAAATGACCTTGCTATAAACACAACATGGTGGGAGTAGGGTACCCTTCTTTTTTTTAGAAATGAATGGGAGTAGAATATACTTCTTTTTTAGAAATATTAGTTGTTTCTCAGAATTAGGGTTGAATGATGAATTGATTAAATCAATTTTTTAGAGAGATTATTAATCAGTTTATTCATATTGAAAAAATTTAAATGACTTAAATAAATAATGTGCTATTTATTTATTTAATTTTAATTATGTCTAAAAGTTTTTTCCATTGAGAATTTAGAAGAATTAATTTAATAGTTTAATAATTAATGAAGGGGTAACCGTAAAAAAAGGTGAAGTGGTAAGTGCTTTAAACAAAAAAAATTATGTAGTGGTTCATATGTATGACATAACGGCCAAAAACAAAAGTTTTCCCAACCCGTATATTTTTTAGAAAGCCCACAAAAGTAAATTATCGAGCCCACTTATGCTTGAGAATTTGAGCGGGATTTTTTTTTTACTTTTGTAAAGAGTAAGATTATGAGTGAAAGGAGGCATATTATTCTCATGGCTATTCTTAAAATTCCAATAAAGTGTGTGTGTATGCATGTATGTAGACACACACAAAAGGAAGTGGGCCCCTTCTGAAGTCTGCCCTTTTGGCTGAGTCGAGCTTGAAATTGCGAATAATTATTGAAGCTTAAAGTTTGTTTAAATTGACATCAAATCGGAAAGAGAAAGTATTTTTCACAAATTAAAGTCAAAATTTACAAATTTTGATCAAGAAAATCTAAATGTGAATAATATTTAAGACGGGGACCCCGGGAGGGATGGACAGAATGCTTTCCGGAGTTAGTTTTTGGATTATTAATTAAAAGTACCCCAAAGTATATTTTTTTTT